GCGTAGTCCGGTTAACTGGCCAAGCGTTCGGTTAACTGAACATTTGACTGGTTAATGGGGATTTTACAGCCCTCGCTCGGCACGGTGCCGCGCTGGGCGAATGCATCACAGGCTCCCTATGGGGACGAGAACGCCGGGTTACGTAAGAACATAAGAACGGCCGTTCTGGGTCAGACCAAAGGTCCATCTAGCCCAGTAGCCTGTCTGCCCACAGTGGCCAGCACCAGGTGCCCCAGAGGGGGTGGACCGAAAACAACGATCAAGCGATTTGTCTCCTGCCACCCCTCTCCAGCCTCTGACAAACAGAGGCCAGGGACACCATTTTATCCCCTGGCTAATAGCCTTTTATGGACCTAACCTCCATGAAATGATCTAGCTTCTCTTTAAACTCTGGTCTAGTCCTAGCCTTCACAGCCTCCTCTGGCGAGGAGTTCCACAGGTTGACTACACGCTGTGTGAAGAAGAACTTTCTTTTATTAGTTTTAAACCTGCTCCCCATTCATTTCATTTGGTGTCCTCTAGTTCTTCTATTTAGGGAACTAATCAATAACTTCTCTTTATCGGCCCTCTCCACACCACTCCTGATTTTATAGACCTCTATCCTATCCCCCCTCAGTCTCCTCTTTTCTAAGCTGAAAAGTCCCAGTCGCTTTAACCTCTCCTCATATGGGACCCGTTCCAAACCCCTAATCATTTCAGTTGCCCTTTTCGGAACCCTTTCCAAGGCCAAAATATCTTTTTGGAGGTGAGGAGACCACATCTGGACACAGTATTCCAGATGTGGGCGTCCCATAGTTTTATACAGGGGCAGGAAGATATTCTGGGGCACAGCCCTGGTACAATTACAGGTCTCTGTTCCCCCAGACCTGGGCTCCCTTGGTCGTCGCCGGTCTCCAGCCACGTCACAGCGCCGCCCTGCACGGGTAACGAGGCTGCAGTGGTGTGAGGCCTTTGTTGTGAGGGAGGCCCATAGAGCCTGGGGCGCGGCCCAGCGATCTTCCTGCCTCAGCGTCCGTGGCCAATCTAGACGCACTTTTCGGCAAAAAAAACCCCGATCGCCATTTTCGCCATCGGGGCTTTTTTGCGGAAAACTCTTCTGAGCTGTCTACACTGGCCCTTTTGCGCAAAAGTCTTTCGGAAAAAGACTTTTGCCCGAACGGCAGCAGCATAGTATTTCCGGAAAAGCGCTGATGATTTTACATGAGATCGTCAGTGCTTTTCCGGAAATTCAACCCGCCAGTGTAGACAGCTGGCAAGTTTTTCCGGAAAATTGCTGATTTTCCGGAAAAACTGGCCAGTCTAAACACAGCCCCTGAGTGGCTGAGCCTCTGCTCGGATCCGGGCATCTGTGCTCCCAGGGTGCCTTTGGGCCTCTGCTTGGAGCTGAGCATCTCTGCCTCCACGGTGCCTTTGGGGCTGGCAGAGCCGAGCGGCTGCCTCCTTCCAGGCCGGGTCCCTGCGTGTGTATGGAAGTCCGGTGTGTTCTGTGTTTGCCGCCTGCCGGACAGGCAGATAACGGCTGTTTGTCGCCCACGATTCCCTGCAGGAGAAACTCCAGGAGGCCTTGGGCCCACTCAGGGAGCAGCTGGAGGACGCCCTGGCGCTGAGAACTGAAGAGGAGGAGAAAACCACGACGTGGCAGGTGGGTATCTGGGTTAATCTCCCTGGCTGCATCTACACTGCAGGCTTCTTTCAGAAGAGCCTTTTTTCGGAAGAGGTCGTCCAAAAAAAGTCTTCTGAAAGAGAGCGTTTGCACACAAAAGCACATCGAAAACGCGATCTGCTTTTTCGAAAGAGAAGGTCCAGACTGAATGGACGCTCTCTCGTGTGTCAGCTGTGATCGCTATGGACGGAATGGCCACCAGGGCTTTTTCCTCTTTCCTCTCTTCGGAAAGAACGCCCTCTTCCCCGTCCGCACGCGCCTTTTTGTGAAAGAGCTCTTTTGAAAAAGGCTTCTTGCTCGTAGAATGAGGATTACCAAACCCCTCTGTTTGGTCGATTTAATTTAGAAAGACTGCGAATGCGGCGTGGATGTAACCGGAGGGTTTTTTTTTGGAAAAATGGCCGTTTTTCAAAAAAATCTCTCTGCAGCCTAGATATAGTCTCTGAGCCCTTTCCCCGGCAGCGCTCCCAGGCATGAAGTAGCAGAAAGCTCCAGGATGAGGCTTGAACCTGCTCTGGTAAATCAAAACTAGCTGGGGTATGTCTGCACATGGAGCACTCGGCACCCCACAGCAGCGGGGACACCCTATGAGCGAGCAGAGCTAGGGGCAGGTCAGAGTAAAGCAAGGCAGAGCTCGGCCACTTCACAGCCTCTGCTGCCACATGGCCATCTCATCCCGGTCACCTTCTGCTGCTCCTGTGACTGTCCCAATGAGACGTACAGGGTATGTCTAGACTACAGGCTTACGTCCACATATGTTTTAACGACAGAACCTGTCGACAAAACTTACGTCGACATAGAGGGTGTGTCTAGACTACAGGGTTTTGTCGACAGAAGTTTTGTCGACAGTATCTTTCAAAAAAACTTCTGTCGACAAAGAGCGTCTAGACATATTCAGTTCTGTCGAAAAAGCAAGCGGCTTTATCGACATAAGTTTTGTCGACGTATGTAAACCTCATTCTAGAAGGAATAACGCCTTTTGTTGACAGAGTTTTGTCGATAGAAGGCGTGATTGCATCTACACTATCCTTTGCGTCCACACTGTTATGTCGATAAAGCCGCTTGCTTTTTCGACAGAACTGAATATGTCTAGACGCTCTTTGTCGACAGAAGTTTTTTTGAAAGATACTGTCGACAAAACTTCTGTCGACAAAACCCTGTAGTCTAGATGTACCCAGAGTGTCTAGACGACATCCAGTTCTGTCGACAAAGTAAGCCGCTTGGTCGACATAACAGTGTGGACGCAAAGGACAGTGTAGATGCAATAACGCCTTCTATTGACAGAACTCTGTCGACAAAAGGCGTTATTCCTCGTAGAATGAGGTTTACATACGTCGACAAAACTACTGAGTTTTGTCGACATAACTCAATTCAGTGTGGACGCAGGTCTAGTTTTGTCAACAAAACCCTGTAGTCTAGACACACCCACAGAGGCAATAAGACAGCGAATACCTTATGGCCTTTGTATAAAACCATGGGACGCCCACAGCTGGAATCCTGTATGCAGATGTGGTCGGCTCATCCCCAAAAAGATCTCTTGGCACTGGAAGAGGTTCAGAAAAGGGCAACAAAAATGATGAGGGGTTGGGAACGGGTCCCGTATGAAGAGAGCTGAAAAAGACTGTGACTTGTCAGCATAGAAAAGAGGAGACTAAGGGGGGAATATGATAGAGGTCTATAAATCATGAGTGGTGTGGAGAAAGTGAGTAAGGAATCTACTTGTTCCCATAACATAGGAACTTGGGGTCACCAAACAAAATGAATAGGTAGCAGGTTTAAAACAAAGAAAAGGAAGTTTTTCTTCGTGCAGCACACGGTTAACCTGTGGAACTCCTTGCCGGAGGATGCTGTGAAGAGCAGGACTTTAATAGGGTTTAAAAAAGAACTAGAGCGATTCATGGAGGTTAGGCCCATCAATGGCTATTAGCCAAGATGGGTAGGAATGGTGTCCCAAGCCCTCGATGCTGAACGTGCAGCCCTGGGAGCAGGTTGTCAAGAAAGAGCATCACCCACATCGTGCTGTGACGGGTCCCTGGGGGGCAGAGGGGAGAGTGTCCAGCCCTGTGCCGCCCCCTCCTCCCCCGTACATCTCTCCTTTTCCCTCGATTTCTCCCCTCCCCCTGTGCCCGTCCCGTGCCACCTGCTGTAAGAGTCTGCAGCTTTACCTAGCACCCTGGGCAACCCCGCTACGGGACTGGCCCTGTTCACTGAGCTAAAACCAGCCCTTTCTGGTACGTTTCCCAAACTTCACACAGACCTCACAGTCCCTGCTTCACGGGCAGAGGCCCTGTCTGTAACTCGGCGCTGGCCTGTGGGCTCCTCTCTCCTTTCCTGCAGGTGAAGCGGGAGACGATTGCCGGTGAATTTAACAAGCTGCACACGCTGCTGAAGGAGGAAGAGCAGCTGCTTCTGCAGAGGCTGGTGGAGGAGGAGAGGGAGACTCTGCAGAGGCTACAGGAAAATGTCTCCAAACTCTCCCAGCAAAGCTCGTCCCTGCAGCAGCTGATCGCAGAGATCGAGGGGAAGTGTCAGCAGCCGGTTGCTGAGCTGCTGAAGGTGAGACGGCGTCAAAACTCTGCCCCCAGCCAGAATTACGGCTCAGATCCATGAGCCTGGATCCCAGGAGTTAGAGGAGGGGTGGGTGAAAGGGTCTCTGCGAGCCTGATTCAGCCCGCCAAACGGGGAGCTCGTCCCTGCAGCAGCTGATCGCAGAGATCGAGGGGAAGTGTCAGCAGCCGGTTGCTGAGCTGCTGAAGGTGAGACGGCGTCAAAACTCTGCCCCCAGCCAGAATTACGGCTCAGATCCATGAGCCTGGATCCCAGGAGTTAGAGGAGGGGTGGGTGAAAGGGTCTCTGCGAGCCTGATTCAGCCCGCCAAACGGGGCCTGCCGCTCCCTCGACCCCAGGCCATTGAGAGCCTTAGAGTGGGAGGAGCATGCAAAGTTTTCCCTGCCCTCCCCCACTCCCGCCCTGCAGGGCAGGGTGAAAGAAGCTTTGCGCAGCTCCCCTAGCGCTGATTGGCGTGGGAGTGGGGGAGCGTGCGAAGCCTCCTCCTGTGCCGCAAGGAGCATGTGGCACGTTGAAGTGCCGCAAGGAGCATGTGGCGCTCTGAAGTGCCGCAAGGAGCACGTGGCGCTCTGAAGTGCCGCAGGGAGCACGTGGCACTCTGGAGTGCCGCAAGGAGCACGTGGCACTTTGAAGTGCCGCAAGGAGCACGTGGCACTCTGAAGTGCCGCAAGGTGCACGTGCCACTCTGAAGTGCCGCAAGGAGCACGTGGCGCTCTGAAGTGCCGCAAGGAGCACGTGGCGCTCTGAAGTGCCGCAAGGAGCACGTGGCACTTTGAAGTGCCGCATGCTCCTTGCAGGGCAGGGGGTAGGGCGGAAGGAGTCTTCGTATGCTCCCTTCACCTCCAGGCCAATCAGGGCGTGGAAGGGGGGGAGCATGTGAAGCCTCTTCCTGCCCTGCCAAGCTGATGGTGCCTAGTGGGAAGCAGGGGAAAATATGGTCTGTGGGTGGGAAGCCCAGAAGCATCCTGGCCCCACCCCTTCCGGTTTAGGCTCCGCCCCTTCGGGAGCAGCCCCCAAATCATTGCCCACGCCTGAGTTAGTCAACTTGTTCTGTGGGATCCTGACCGACAATATCGGGCCCAGGGCTCCCTCAGTTCCAGACGGTGCCGTTTGGGTGGGAGGAGCATCACGGAGGCCCAGGGGTGCCCTGCGAGATTAGACGTTTGGTGCCGCCCGGACGGGTGAATCCATTCTCTGGATGAAAGGCTGCTGCCCGGATGGGCAATGGCTCCAGTTTCTGCCCCCGGTGTTCACCCAGAGCATCGATTCTCTTTCTCCTTTCAGGACGTGAAAAGCACGTTGAGCAGGTGCGTGTCCCGTTTTCCCTGCCCTCGTATTCCTGGGGGGGCCCTGCGGCACTGCCGGCGCAGGGCAGCTGCTGATGCTGGGACGTTTGCTTCCTAGGAGTGAAAACATGAAACTCCAGGAACCAGAAGATGTTTGCACCGACCTGCAGCGCGGGTATAAAATTTGTCTTGATCTGAGGGAAGCTCTGAACAGATTTGCAGGTGAGTAGGAGCCCTCTTCTTGCCCCCATGCCCCCTTCTGCCCATCTCATCTGCGCCTCCCCTTCCCTCTCCCAGCATCAGCCTGTCCCCTCCGCCCCACTGCCACCTTCCTACCCTTCCCCCGCTCCTCCTGCCCTTTCTCTTCACTGTCTCCCCATTCCCTTGTCTTGATCTGAGGGAAGCTCTGAACAGATTTGCAGGTGAGTAGGAGCCCTCTTCTTGCCCCCATGCCCCCTTCTGCCCATCTCATCTGCGCCTCCCCTTCCCTCTCCCAGCATCAGCCTGTCCCCTCCGCCCCACTGCCACCTTCCTACCCTTCCCCCGCTCCTCCTGCCCTTTCTCTTCACTGTCTCCCCATTCCCCCCCGTTAGCCCTGGTGCCTGCCCCTCCCCCTGCCCCATTGCTG